TTTAATTTCAGCTTCAACTGCCTTGTCTTTAATCCGACCTCCTATATTAATCCCTCTTGTGACAGAACCTTCAAGGTAAGCACGCAACCATTCTAAGTAAAAAGTGTCACATCCATCTAGGTACCTATATGGTGCACTTGTATCCTTGACCATAACTCTCTTTTGTTTCTCCACATCCTAAGAATTTTCTTTGCAAAAGAAAATTTATCAATATCATAGTCAATTCTATGGTGGTCCATGTTATCAACTTGCGATATGACTTGCTTTCTTCCGGCTTGTCTAATGGAGTATAAGGTTGAAGTACTCGAAGTCCGATGAAAACCAAATAAGGTAGCATTTTTCCGCGGATTACCAATTTCTCAAAAGGATACCAAGAAAACATCCATTGAATCGAGGTGTCAGTCAGCTTGCTAAGTAACTTGTCACAATCTTTAACACTATTTTGACGCTCGAATACAACCACTAGGACCATGTATGAAGTGATATGATTAGCATCATCTTTTTTGTAAAGATCTTGACTTCCATTGATCTTTTGGAGATGCTCCATAAACTACAACTGCAGCAATAAATTGTATCCCTCCCTGCGAAGGCCCAAAGCTCGGAACATATCTGCAACAACCATTGGTACTATGATGTATGGCTTGTCCCCAATGCCATTAAATAACGCATCAGTAATCATAACAAGTCGCGTGTGAATGTCCTTTTTTACTCATCAAGGAAATACTACAAGCCCAAGAAAATAAACTGCAAAAAGGAATATCCTCTTTCACTTTAAGAAGCATGTGAAGAGAACACCTCTCGATGTCGTAGAAAAACATCTGAATGACCAAAGATGTCGAACGAATAGTGAATAGGTACCTTGGATTCTTTCAAATTCTCTAGTCCAACTTCTTTCTCAAAACCAAACTTTTCAAGGAACTCTTTTGGTGATGGATTTTTTGAAATAATCATACCACCGCTCTACCAAGAATGTGTACCTTTCCATAATAAACTTACGTTCTCTATGAAGCCCAATTTCTTCTAACAATGGTGTCATCTCATTTTCCCCGAACCTGAATACGACTCTATCTTCATCCCAAAAGGTGACTGTTGCCTCAATTATTTTTCTACCTCCATAAGTAACGGTAGATGACCCAACTTTTTTTGTACTTTGAATTGTCTATTTTCTACTAAGTTTTCCTATCATACCTTCAATTGAAAATGGATGTTCAAAACCATGCCAATCTTTGGGTAAACAACATCTTAATTCATGATTTTCTGCATCACATAAAAAAGGTTAATCCTACTCGTTTTTTCCCTTTAGGAGTAAATGATCCACTTAATTAGTGTGTTTATCTTTCAAATAATGCACATAAAGTATGAATAGGCGCCACTCGGGGTTATAAACCCGCTTGGCATTTGGATAAGCTAACCAACGGACTTAATACACCTAGGGTATTAAGACTCCTACGTGTGATGCATGTCCCTACGAAGGATTTTGGTTTAGCTCTATCCTCGATGACTAAGAGTGGGTTTTTCTAGACTGGTCTTCACCCAAACGAATAACTTGAGAGTGGAAAGCCCGTGACGACTGCACCGCTTTTCAACTTACCCACAAACTTTTCCTTAATAGGTAATATTTTTTAAAAGTGCACGGCCGCAAATTACGTAACCGCTAGGTGTGTGCTTGGTATGAGTTTTCCAAAAGTGGAGAAAGTGAAAACAGAATGAAAGTTTATAAAAGATAGCAATTACAATTTATAAGAGGTAGTATATTATCACATCAGGCAATAAACAAAGAGAAACATTCACAAAAATACAAATCCATTTTTATTAACCTAAGTTTGTTATGGTTTAAAATCTAAATTCTCCAACGGAGTCGTCAAGCTGTTATACCCCATTTTAATACGAGTCAAATTAGAGTATAACCTATTGAAAACTCATAGGTTTAATTAATTTTAAAAGTGTCACCACCTAATTATTCTAAGGTGAATTAGGACACTTATTATTAAATTGCTTGAGTTAAACTCCATTTTATGGTCTTAACCTAAAGATTCTAAGTAAGGGTTTTAAATATTCTAAAATGAAAGTTTTTAAGACACTTGTTAAATCCGTTAATATGGTTAACCACATCAAACTCAGGTTAATAACTTCAGACTTATTAAAAAGTAGTAGTGTTTAATATATTTTAACTAAATATAACTTATAAATTAGTGGTTTATCCTTGAGAATATTACTACGTGAAAAAAGCTTATAACTAATACATATATAGATTTGGAGGATGTGGCCCTTTTGAGAAAAACTCATTACTAACTGTTTGTTTGTCTTCAAAATTTGTCAAGGGTCAAAGATCATTGAAACCTCATTATTTTTATTTTTAAAAAAAATAATCTGCCAAATCAATTTCAAAGTCACGTTTCAAGAAAAGGTAATCTAAGTTTCGTACTCGTCTTGACATGATTTAAAGAAAGGTTTTTCTCATAGGTCTAAAAATGCTATCTCCAACACACTAGGCAGTTATAATCTTTAAGGTACTTAGCACTTGACTATAATTCCACATGATACAAATTAATAATCAATCATAGTTCCAAACTAAGATAAAATTGATTCATATAAATAACTAAAATTTAGACAAAAAATAGTGAAGAATATCGACAACCGTCATATGCGATCCCAAGCAAGTTTTGCTTGTTTTTCTTGATGTCCAATGTAGCCTAAGACTCCGTGGTAATGACTCCATGCTAGTGCGAGGCGAGTCTTACATTAAGACTCATATTGCTCCAAGTGCTTTTTGTGGGCAGTGAACGAGGCGTGGATATTGTCGTCGCTAGTCGAACTTCCTCGCTCTGCTCAGCTTATTTTTTTTCACTTTATAATTAATTTTATTATGCTTCCATTATTCCAACAATTTACAATAAAATGCATTATATTTTATAGTGATAAAAATTAATAATTATTATATATGCATGCATTTATATAGATAGAAAATAAATTATAATTAACAAATAATCCTGTATTAATATTAGATGCATTAGTGCTGAATAACAAAATGATGATTAATTAACTAAAAGATGACGATATAATTATAATAAATATAATATGCTATATTATATTAAGACGACAAATTATATTTTTTATTTTTTAAAAAATCTTGAAATTAGAAAAATACGACAAATATTTTGAATAAAAATAGGTCAAATATATTTAATAAATTATTACGAATTAGGAAGCATAGAAAAAATGATTAGGAAAAATGAGGGTCAAAATTGGTCGTCAACAGTTTCAAGTCACCGATTTGTTTAATTCCTAATCAAGAAAATTTTTGACTCTATTTTTGGTCCGCGAACACAAAGATCGTGTAACAAATTCTATTGACCGGGGAAAGATATAAGACACTCCCCGAGTCTTGGATAAAATTAATTTTAGATATCTTTTGTCTTAAGAATTTTGTCTTTGTTCACTTTTAATTGCTTGATTTGGAATAGAAGAAATTATCATGAAACAAGTCGAGCACGAAACTGAAATTTGGTGGTTGTTTTTTGGCTTATTTTCTTGGCAGTTTTAAAGCTATTTTAATGGAGTCTCAAACCAAAACAGGTGGAGCATTGGGGTGTTAACAATGTGAAAAATGGTGATGAGCTATTATTGTTTCATGGTGGATATGTTGTTCTCTTTTGACGAAGGTTGATGTATTTTTCTGCTACTAATTGGAGAAGACGAGAAACCCATATATCCTCTTAAAGGTTAAAAAAAAAGTCGTGATTGTTTATAATCTATTTTTGTCCTCTCATTGCTTTCTCTAATCCCTCTCTTGTTTTTATTTTTTCTCTCTATGGTTCTTTCTGGTAGTCTTTTTTTTTTTTTTGTGCTCTCTCGATCTAGATATTATATGAGTAATGCGTGATTATATAAGTGTGAATGAAGAGATGAATTGGTGAGCAAAAATAGGATATGAGAGAATATTCTTTGGATAAGGATGATGAGCTAGGAAGATGTTAAGGAAGGTGCTGAGAAGGTGTTAGGTCATCTCCAACCCTTGCCTCTATTTTCTCCTCCAAAATGGAGTAAAGTTACTCCAACCATTACTATAAAAGAGAATATTTTATTTATATTCTTCTCTCTCTTTAATATTATATTATTATCTTTTATTTAAATTTTATTTTCTTATTTCTATTAAAAAAATTATCTTTTTTTCTTTTTTTATATATTCATCACATATAATTTATATTCCTTTTTTATATAACCATTTAATATAAAATTATTTTATACCATAAATTTTTAAATAATATAATTTATAAGCAAATATTATAGATTATATACATTAACGAAAAATTCAAATCAAAGTGAAATCATTGAAATAAAAGATAATTAAATACATATTACAGATTAAATATTACATAAATATTTAACTTTCATAGGGATAAATTAAAAGAGTTAAATAATAAAAATAATAATAAAGTAATAGAAATATTAATGGAGGAGATGACCCCAAATTTGGAGTGATACTATTCATCCCTATTTTACAGTAAAAAGTGCAGGAGCGTTGGGGACCAATTACTCCAAAAATCACCTACATTGTAGCAAATGCAGTTGGCGTTGGAGATGCCCTTATGAAAGTTTATTTAAAGAATCTTATGTGTAAGAGGGTGTATTTGGAGGAGGTCACATGAGAGTGAAAGATTGATTATTTTTGGATAAAAATAGAATTTTTACCGAGTGACAACGTTCCATTGACTTTTATATTTTTTTCAAAATCTTTTCCTTTTAAAGGTTACTAGGAAATTTTAAAAATAACTAAAGAAAAAATTACAAAATTACTAGCAAACAAAAGAAAATTGACCCTGTACTAACTGGCATCAGAGCATAAAACATGTCGCTCCAACTTTATTAACCCAATTCGGATTTCTATTCAAACTTAAGGGACTAGATCGCATTTTCCAAAAGCTGTTAGGGGCTTCACTGCCTTTTCTCTTTTTACACTTCAGTCCACAGTTTTTCATCACTTTTTGTCCATTGGCTATTCCGTCTTTTATACCTGTCAACGATTCAACTCTATTTGTATCCCTTGCCCGAGCAGAAATTGATATTCCCAATGGCAGTGATGCATAAGTCGATGACAATGTTGCTTTCTCTAATCTCACTTCTTTCTTTATGCTCTCTACTTGCCTCCACACTCGCGATCGCATCCGGGTACTCTTTTTCACACATGTATTTTCATACAAAAACCCAGTTTTTATCTGTTTCAAATCTGGGTTTTTGGTTCGCTATCGGATCTTATAATATAATGATATAATCTATAAAGTTTTCTCAACTATATACTTCTAGGTGAAAAATATAAATATTGAATTGTTTTAAGCTTGGTCTTTTATTGTTGCTTTGATTGTGTTGGCAGGAGCAGTGATGGTTATACTATTAATGGTCGTGTCAAAATTCCTGGTATGTACTCATTTAATTTTGCCTTTTCCTCTTTTATTTAATTATATAGAAGAACCCAGTTGCAAAAAATTTATTTTTCTACTTGGTTTGTAGATTTACAAGGTTGTATTAGCGAAATAATTTACTTCTTATTTTTGGAAAAACTTGTTGGAGCTTAGCATTCTTATTGAGTTTGCGTGTACTCTGTAAAAGCTCTACTTTTGGTATTTACTTGAACAAGAAGGATGGTGTTTGACCATAGGATCTAACTTGTTTGTTGGAGGACAAGATTTGCCTTTTCTAGGAAGAGCATGGGCGTGGGGAATTGAGGATGAGGATGAGTCCACAAACTACTCAATTGCTTTTTCCAATACTTGAACTAGAACCATGAGGTCTCTGGTTCAAATATCAATAGAAACAAAACAACAGTACGTGATTTCTTTCCCGGGGACAGAGTTACCCACTATTTGTGCTTTATGCATTCGGTGGAATAGTTCGAGGTGTGCACAAGCTGACTCGGACACCAAACTAATAAAAATAAAGTACTGGTAATCCAAGAAACCGACACTTTATTTGGATAGAGGGATATGGTAATGGGTAGCCATAGGAGAACTAAAGAGGAGGACAGAGAGTTATTTCTTTCTTTTGGTTTACTCTTGTTAGACATTAGTTTGCTTTTTAGTAAGGAAGCAAAGTTGAAGGATAAGTGACAGTAGAGAGAGTTGACAGCTTGAAATTTGATAGAGATGAGGAGGTGAATGTCTTTTACTCTATTATCTTCTTTATCAAACAGTATGAGCGGAAGGATAAACTGATAGGGAAAATAGATTAGTGATTTCCCATCCTTACCATTTCGCTTTACTTCCTTGAACCAACCAAAGTAAATTCAAGAAGAGGATATGGATCCTAGCATATAGTGTAAAGATTATAGAAAGGGACAAGAGAAGGATAGCATAATAGTGGAAATAGTGAGGCTAATCTATATGGCTAAAGGGGCTAAATCTTTATATTCAATGATTTGGCTGCTGAATTGGATTATAAGAAGGGATAGATGATGTCCATGAAAAGTTTACTCGACCCAAGGGCACTCACTATGCGTTTGAAGCTTCAGTATCTTTTGGTTGATTGGAAAAGATATCCTCTTTTTATCATTTTTATGCATAAGCTAACTTAGACATCTGCCTTTTAGGTGGAATCTAAGTTGTGTCAGTGAAATTCTGGTTTTGGGACTATTTACTGGGATAGATAGTCAATAAACTAGAAATGCTGAGAGTTAAGTAGTGCGTAAAGCAGAAACTTGCTGTTTCTCAAAAATAAGACCAAAAATATCTGTATTCTTTTATTCTCAGATGGTGGCGAAGGAACAATATTGAGCGCTAGTTCTAATCCAGACCGTTGCTGCGGTTGATGTTGCTTGTCGCCCCTGTATCGTAGTGTTGCCTTAGTTTCATTTTGTTTGACCTAATTTGAGTGGCAAGAGAGTTGAAGTTATGTCTTGAGAGAAGTGGGCCAAAAGTATAATAAATGTTAACATTTGATAATTTGAGATTTTATAAAATTAAAATTGGATTGAGTTTTATTGTTTGAACCAGTATTATTCTCAGAATGTTGTTGATAGAGGAGAATATAGCGAATCGTGGAAGAGAGAATAGGATTGTGGTTTGGCCACAGTAAGAAGTAAGACGTCCGTTTGGCTTGAATGGAGTATATTTTTGGTGCCATGTTCCAATTTTTATTAGTTTTTCAATGTTTTGTTCTGTCATTTTAGATTACAGTGCTATAATTCTCGTTATGTTGTAGTGAACACCTTGCACTAAAGTGTGCTTCAAATCCTTTTCTTGATATGTTATAGCTGTTAACGTTTCTATCTTCTTTTGTGTGGTAGGCTTTAGCTTGAAAGGATCTGGTTTGGCCGCTAAAGCATCAAATGTCAAAGTCCTACTCAATGGTGGCCAAAGAGTTACTTTCCTGAGACCTGATGGATATTTCTCATTGTATCCTTCTTATATGTCCATGTATTTCTCAGCTTTGTTACGGAGGTCATTGTTGTTATTTTTGTTATTCCACTGATATTTAACTGATGCTCTATCTCCAAAAGAAAGGGGCTCCCCTATGCTGTGATTTTTACATTTGTTTGCCCACTATATGTTCTTTCTTTAGAGGTTTCTTGACATATATGAAATAATGGAATTAAGTTGTTTCTGTTTATGACAATCAACCCGAACCAGGTTGTACATCAAATTAATTGTTAAACTAGAATTTAATCTAATGTTCTTTATTTGCCTTCTTTCTGTTGTCTGTCATCTCATATAATTTCTCTGTTTCGTCTGTTGTTGGCCTGATATATACCTAATATAAGAGCAAGAACAAATTGGTGGTATTTGGCAAAGAACGATGTGTGGCTCTAATCGTGATAATAAGCTGACTTCACTTCCAAGCACTAGCTGTTGCAAACTTTACTGAAAAATGATTTCCTTCTGTCTTTCTACTCTGTATGATGAACCAAGAGAGCAAGGTAGCAAGGCTATGTAACTGGATTTCCCCTTAAATATAGTTTTACGAGATTACTTCTGCCTGGTATTTGGCTGTTTGATCAAGGAGATGATCAATGAAATAGACAAAGGTTCCTATTGAATGCTGGAAATTGGTGAAACCATTTTGCTGAGATCTGGAGCAAAAGGAGCCCATTGTTACAACTCAGAATTTGGGCTGTAATTTCGGCCAAGAACTGGTGAGAAAAGGTCCTTCTGATGGTCTGACGTAGAGTAGTCTACTCGGGCAACTTGGGCTTTTTAATTTTAAGCATATATAAGGGGGGTATAGGTGATGAAAGCTCCGACCTGCCTCCCCCATGCGTGCTGCCACCGAGCCGCATAGAACGAGCTGCCTTGGGGGCGAACCCCAAGGGCCTGCCTAGATGACTCAAGGGAGTGTCAAAGGTATCCATACGAGTTTGGGAACTCGTATGGGCTGCGCAACGCCTTAGGGCCTGCGTTGGGCATCAATAGGGCAGTGGAGGCTGCTATTGTGGAACGGCCAGCCCCGCGGGCTGCCGAGTGTTGGAAAGAGACCTCCACGCCGATTGGATACTTGACGCACCTGTCATAGGGGCATCATGTGTCGACTTGTGAGCATGGCTTTGGTTCAGCCATGCAAGCAAGGGTCCGTTGGCCTAAAGGTGCAGGTGTGGGCGACACTGCACTACTTCGGAATGGAAGCGTGCTGCAAGAGGGCTATGTATGGGCATGGCACGAAAGAGGCGCATGACAATGGCCAAGGACTAAAGGTTGCCTTACTCGGGCGAGGCACGAGCTAGTTGCGGATGCACTAGACGAGTGTAAGCTTGAGGATTGGGCTGTGCACGCAGGAGCGATGCTCAGTCTTGGGCTAAGGACAAGACATGTCCAAAGCCAA